TATATATATAGTATTTTTATTGTTTTATTATTAAAGGGCATTTCATTCTAACAAGTATTTAAGTAACATGGTTTTCTGGAGTAAACGTGACTTGCAAACAGCATCCCTTTATTTCAATACATTCCGAAACTTACTTTTGCAAACATGTTCTTCCCTTCAAACCTGTTCAACATGTAGTTCACACTAAGCTCTTCGATCACAAACAGTTACTTATTTATTACCGAATATGACTGCTAAAGTTTCTTTATTTAGAAAATTAAGATAAAAAAAGATCTTCATTTTTTATCTTTATTTTTCGGAAAAAATAGCAAGCTTAGTAAATAGTCAGCTTTTCTAAATCGAATAACTTTGATTGGCAGAATATTTCTCATTTCTTAATAAGATTTAATTCTCAGCTAGCTGACAATTATTCTAAGTTTTCTTTCAATAAAAATTTGACAATAATTTAAAAAGGAATTTTACTTTAAAGGGAAAACATAAATTAAAATACCATAACAATTGATTAGTATATTAATGCAAAACTATTATACGTGGTAGCTTAAAGAATAAGATTTTGAGAAATGTTAAAATTTAATTAAATAGTTGGTAAAATAATTCGACGAAACACTCGCAGAGTAAATTATAGTGTAAATAATTAATTTTAAATTTTCTTGGCTTCTACCAAATAAAAACTGTTGATACTTTAAAAGTTTCAATTGAAAAATACAATGGAATTTTTTTTGAATTGCTTAATTAGTTTTAAAAATATGACTAAAAACGCAAAAAGTGAAATTAACATTAAAGAGTCCGAACTTTGAATCACTCTCCTGACCAAATATGGGGACCATTCTTTCCAAATTGCGGCTACCCCATATATTTTAAAGGTTAAGAATCCAAATATGTTTAAAAAAATATATGTTTATTCAGGGAAAGTACGTTTTTGTATCTGATTCGTAACTTTATTAATAGTTAGCACTAATTAATTAGCATATTTGAAGTCACCCCCGGGAACCATTTTAGTTGGGGAAAATCCGATCATTAGTACGAAAATTATTCAGGGTGAAATCTTTTTTTTCGGACTGTAATGTATAAATATGACAAGAAATTTTTTTCCAGGGTTATGATCACAAGTTTGATAACTTTAACTTCAAGGTGATTAGGAGCGAAGATGTTTTGTAATCACATGAAATTTATGAACGAAAAAGTTACCCTATTATGTAAACTGATGTTATTAAGTTGAATGAAAATCACATTCTTGTCTGGATTTTTCAGAGTCCAGCATCTATGGTAGAGGCTGCCGCCTCTCACGGTGTAGGAATTCGAAATTGTTCCTTTCAGCTCCTTTACATTTTTGCAAGAAGAATAGACCAAACCTAAAACATAATAGATATTTCATTTTATTTAATTGCAAGTTCTTAAACATTAAATTTGTTTTCATCTCATCTATAATTATAAGATAGGGAGTATATGCGTGTCTTATAATTTCGAAACCGTTTGTTTCCTTGAAGTTTGAACGTTCAGTTGAAGTTTGGATGTACACCCTTGTGCAAATTAATTGAAACAAACTCAATAAATTCAGAAAACTAAGAGAAAATGCTATTTTATTTAAATTTATACAAACTCAAAAATTTTTAGTACATAATATGATCTCCACGACACTTTATTAACATTTGGACACGATTCGGCATGGATTCCACTAATTTTTTACAGTCATTTATAATATTTGTGTCCTTGTACCACACATGAATTAACGCCGTGATTAGCTTCTCCATAGTTGTACAGTCCATATTTAATAGGCGATTCTTGCATATGGCCCAGAGATTCTCAATTGGGTTGATATCCGGAGAGTTCCCTGGCCATTCCAATGTCTCAATTTGATTCTCAGACATGAATTTCTTGACAATTTTGGACGTATGGCAAGGAGCTAAATCCTGTTGAAAAATCCCTGTTCCATCAGGGTATCGTTTCTTCAACTCTGGAACAACTTTTTTACCCAGAATAGTAATGTACTGCTCAGAACGCATCATACCGTCAATAGGCTGCAAAGGTCCAACCCCATTGTAACCGAAACAACCCCAAAACATCTTCTTTAAAAAACACGAAAAAAAAAGTTTGTTTCAATTAATTTGCACAAGGGTGTAGTTCAAACTTCAAGAACTATGTCTTGAAGTTTGAACAACGACTGCATAGCTCAAGATTTAGAATATCAGCTTCAGTAGATCTTTTGGAAGACACATATAAGGAATGAAATTTTCTTATTGGTTGAACAATAGCCATTGTTTTAAATTAAACTAAAGACGATTTTGGGTTAAATAAAATATTTTAAGCATAATATCAATTATGTTTTCAAGCTTATAGCTTCATATTTTTAAAAAAAATAAATTTAAAGCTGCAACATTTCTGTTATGTTAGTTGTTTTTTTTATGCATATTTTATCAGATGAACTTAATAATGAATATGAATGTGGTAGCATAGCAAACAGAATCATAATATTAGTATTTTTTACTTATCAGAAATAAGTGTTTATTTTTTTGAAACGCATTTTCCTTAGAAAAAAAACTAGATAATTCAAATTAACGGTCATTGAATTTAAAATAAAAAATCATGTATTAAGAAGAATTTATTTACTAAGAAGAGAAAGGTTGTTTATTCGTTTCTAGAAACCGTAAAACTCGCCGTTCTATTATAGTATGAATAATGTTAAATAAATTTTGGTGACTACTGGAATTGTGATAAATAGTCCAGTTTTAATAGGCATCAAAGGTAATAATAAGATAAGGTATTGTGGTAATATTTTTAACGGCCTCTCGAAAGGGATTAAGTACCGGAAAGTTACCTGATTGTGGTAAATTTTGACTATCATGATTTGGCTTCCAGCAATGGCATCATACCAAGTGCAGCAATGGCATCCAGCAATGGCATCATCAACGATAATTGGCATTTTTTAAACTTTAGTTTTTCGTTTTGTTTGTGTCTTTTGTGCATGATGCTGATCAATTCCGTTTTTTTATTTTTTTCGTACGAAAAACAGGTATTCATCTAGTTTTGTTTGGAATAAAATAGAATAAATGGTAAAAAGAATTAAATGAAAATATTCCTCCTTTTTTTTGGATTTCTCTTTCCATTTTTCTCCTAGTTTAATTCCTCTGAAATCGTGATTATACACACACATACAAAGTAATAAAAATGCAGATTAACATTTTCTTCATGAAGTACAATGGGTATCTTTTCTATATTTTTAGGACTCACAAAACAACAGGGTTTTTTGAAGAAAAAAAAACCCAGCTCAAATGAGTTTTCTCATGAAAAAAAAAATTTTGCCCTGGAGTAAGTGAATTTTATTCAGTTTTTTCATAAAAAAGACCCAATATCGCGTGAAGATAAGTGAGTTTTTTCAAGTATATTTTACATGTGTACTGATATTTACTAAATATAAACATAATATATATTACACGATGAAAAAAGTTTGCTTGATTATCACCAAATGGATAAATAAAATAAATAGTTATGAGAATATCTATTTCAGTCTTTTTTTATGTCTTCCAAATGTATAATGAATCGCATAATGATGAAGTTATTGAAATGATTCCTTGTGAAATAAACCCTGCTGTATCTGCTATTCAGATGCCTGTACGACGAAAGGTCATTTTCCAGGTGAGCATTGGAAAAAAATATATTTTTGAAACTCGTTAAAATGTAAAATATAAATTTAATCTCAAGCGTCTTAACGATTTCATGAAATATCAAAAAATCTCTCTTTATTTCTTCTTATTGAAATATTTGTACAGAACAGAAACTATTCAGTCATTAAGCGATTTCACAAGTTAGAATTAAAATAATCTATAATCAGAAATTGTTCTTGCTAGCCCGTCTGTCAAAAAAAAAGAAGTGAATATTTGAGTGATTAGATTAGACGTTTCGGCTTTCAATTAACACTCTAAATTATAGTTCTTTGACAAACTCTTGGTCTAATATTCTAAACATTTTCTTTAAATTCTTTTGATTTTGTCTGCAAAATGTACCATTGATGGAAACAGGTGCATTCAATAAGAGAAATCTTAATATATGATGGGTTATTTTGGTCAAATCTTTCAACATACTCAATACAGTATTTATTTATTTATTTTGCTGATAAAATTATTTTTACATTCTTTGCCTATAAGATCTTATTCATTTTCATCTATCAATGAATCAGAAGATATATGCAATTACTCACTGAAATAGTATTAATAAGGTCTCATCTTACTAATTGTAACTCTTCAAAAGATTTGAGACCACTGATAAAATAGTACTTGAGACCACTGTATAAAATAGTAGTTGAGACCACTGATAAAATTGAGATTGATAAAATATTTATAACAATACTATTATATAATTGTATTTACAGTATTGAAATTTACATTCAATCAAATTTTAATTAAACTTATTTTTTACAAATACTTCATTGTAAACAAATATTTATAATTGCATTGAATTCCTGCTCAGGATCCCGAATTTAATCGGACGTTGCATTTATAATAGTTAATGAGGTGATTTTTTTCGGTGCTCTTTTCTTCCGCTATTCTTTGCGTTACGTGGAGAGAAAAAACTAAGAAATACTCCCACGGTTAGCCCATTGACAAGAGGAAATTCATATTCAGTATATCACTGACGATAGCCCTAAGTTCAGTGCGAGCTGGAAGCCGAATTTGTATCGACCAACTATCACTGGGTTTCGAACTTGGAGCACCTCATTAAGAAGTGAGCGCTCTAACGCCTGAGCCACAGCGGCTTTGCCTAGCACATTTTAAAACTTTGATCTACAACATTTGAATTGTATTGTTTTTAAAAGCGTTTCCTAGATTTCCCGCATGCGATGCGTTAAAAAAGGTAGGGCAAATGATACAATTAACATAGACTTACAATTGTTTCGGCACTATACTAGGAATATCATTGCTGAGATATAACTCATGATACTCATATAATTTTTGTGTTTTGATACTAATTATGATACCTATTATAAAACAAGAGCAATACATATCTAAGATTTGTGTTCTAAGAATATAACTGATTTCTGCTCTTAAATTCTATTATTGGAAATATAATATATATATATATATACACTAGAGGGCTCCGCCCCCTNTATATATAAGAAAATATTAAAAAGCTCTTTCTGTAAACTGCAAGTAGTCTTTATATGAAATAATTTTTTAAAAAAATTATCAGATTATATTTAAATAAATATTTAAATATATTATATTTAAATGTAGGTCGCAAATTGAATCCGTAGATTAATTTCAAATATTTATTAAATCTGAGCATTTTTACCGTGATCCTATGGGATTCCTTTAGCAATATTTATTTATTTTATCACATCCTTAAATATGTCTTACAGTAGTCCTTCTTTTATAGCACCCTTTAAGATTTCATAGCTTTATAAGATTTGTCAGAAAATTCATATTCAATTCTTTTTGTGGGTTTTAAGTTTCACTTTAAAAACAAGTAACCTAATTTCAAGAACTAAAACGTTTTTTTACGATTTTTCAATAAATAAATAAATAAGAATAAAATAGATTAAAAAAATTAAATGCTTAAATATTATGTCAAAAAAAACGAAAAAGATTTCAAGATATATAATGATAAATATTTATTACTTACACATTTGCAAAAAAATCATTCCCAGAATATGCAAAAAATAATTTAAATGAGCCATTTTCACTGAGTAAGGTTTTTATGATAAAATAAAAGAGGAAATGTTCCTTTTATACAACTTAGTCACTTCAGTAAAGAAGATTGCATAGATATCTAACTCTTTATTATTTGTTGAAGCTGTATTTATGTGTTTTTCTGTCCAATTTATAATAAAGATAACACTGACGCTGTTAAACTTGCCAGCGGTCAATGCCAAATTAAGGGAGTTTTCCCTTCCCAAATGTCTATCATTAAAATATGATTTCAAGTGCCCAAGACGATAAAAAAGATGGATGCAACTTCCTTGTCTTATAAAGTAACTTTTCAAAATGAATGAAATCGTTGTTTAAGAAATTTTTTTTTTTTTTTTTTTTTGAGACTTATCTCTATATTTCATTCATACAATTANTTCTTTTTTTTTTTTTTGCGCCTTATCTCTATATTTTATTCATACAATTATCGTAAATTTAAGTTGCTTTAAGCGACAACACTAATGTGTTCACGTTTAATTTTTAGTCTCAAATCTTTTTTTCTATTACTTTCCAAAATAGTATCAAATTTCAGAGTGGTTTCATCATTTAGTTTGTTTAATTAAGAAAATGCAGTAAAGAAGTACTACTACTTGAGTTAATACTCAACAGTTCGAAATTGTGTTATATTACGTCAATACTTTTTTTTTCTTTACGATAGAATCTTGCAAACCTAATACCCTGGATGGGTATTTTTTTCTTTATTAGTTTTCTAATTTTATTCATCCCGTCTCTGTTTTCTGCAGTATGTTTCATTCCATTACTGATTTCAAACAAACATTTTCTGTTGACAAATCTGATTGATTGCTATACATATAAACGTCAGTTTGTTTCAACATAACTTTGAAATAAATTAATGAGACCAAACTTTTCCTCTATAAAAGCGGAAAGTTTGGGGCGAGCTTCAAAATTGAGATGGAAATAAAGCGAAGAGTGCTTGCTTTTGAAATGTTAACTTTTCACATTTTTATTTTAGAAATTCTGTTCTGCCAAATTTGTAAGTTAAAATTTTTATTTCGGAAATAATTTTATTTTCTTATCTGCAATTGCAAATACATTTTATTCTTATATTTTAAAGTAATGGTAGTTATTAAGAATTTGTTATTAATTTAAGTCGTCCACATACACTATGATTTTAAAGACATTTCTCATTCTTTTTAAAAATCTGAATTAAGATTTTGCGAAAAAAAATTTTTATTATTTTAAGAAGAGAAAAAATCTGTGCCTATTTCATATGTGTGCTAAATTACTAATACGAAGAAATAAATCTATCACGTTTTTAACCCCTTCAGCACCGTTTCTTACACATACGTGAAAGCCCGATTTATATTTCACCGATCATGGTTTAGAATTCTTTTTTCACTTTTAATTTTGTTATGCATTAAATTGATGAGTTCATTCTTGAGGTATGGGACCAGAGAAATCTCATAAATACTTCTTGAGTTGTGAATAAAAGAGAATTACATCGATATTTTTGTTTTTATTGTTTTAATTAAGAATCAGAAATTCTAACCTACATTTCAAACTGGATCGTTTTCAACATTAATTCAAATGAATATCACAAATAAAGAGGGTCCCAAACTGATTGACATGGTCCCAAAGGTTAGAGTTGAAGCAAGAAAAAAACCATGTCAAAGTATAAACTTACTGAGGCTGAAAAAGTCAGGCCAAAGAATGTAGACAGAAATACCTTGAGCGTTGCATACAAACGGAAAAACGAAAGGATTCCGTTCACAAACGCAAGCATGAAGCCCGTTCCTCACAAAAGTACCTAAGTGGTTGACATAATTGAACCCTTCCGAAGAGCAAATGGTGACTCTCCTAACATCTTTCATGTAAATACGAGAACTGGGTACTGATCACCAGGTTAGGGATAAAAGGATCCATTGTCAACGTACCCAATGACTTGCACAAGACCGTATACTGTCTTCCACACATTATAAATAATTCATTCAATATTCATGTAAAATTGGAAAAAAAAAGTTTAGCTTTCAAATCATATTTCATGTATGAACATGTGAATCCGAAACGGGTGTATGATGCAGCTTACAATCTCCATCGAACACCATTGTACCAATCCGAAAATGTTAATATTGATCTCGATTGGCTGTACAATGTCTATTCAGTCATCAGAAGAATTTACACAGAATGTGTCTGAGCTGCATTCTGATATGTCTGTGAAATTGTGTACCGAGCAGTTCAGGATTAACAGTTAAAATGTCCAAAATGAAAACACAATAAATTTGCTTTTCCAAAAAAAATTAGACAACAACCATTTTGCCAATGGTTTACCTATGATCGCCTTGCGGTGATCACTAATTTTCTCTTAAAATTTTATTAGTTTGTTTTATTATATGCATTTAATTTCAGGAGAATATGGAGAATAAATTTCTTTAAGAAATGAAGAAAGCTTGATTATACTGAGTAAATGTACATCCAGAGAATATCTGCATCAAACCTCTTAAAGTACTGTTTTAATTTAGGGACCCTTTATAAATGATGTCACTCTTGGAGGAGGGGGGGAAGGGAGGTTTGTGAGTTGTAAAAATTTGTGACACAGGGTATTATGATATAGGTGTAATATGAAGTGTACTGCCCCTCATTTTGGTTAAAATTAAAAAAATTTCAAAATCAGCAGCGCAAATTTTTTTTCTTCATTAAATTAAGAATTCATATAATAATTATTGTGACGGTTACTAATACTAATACTATTAAAACACGAAAATCAGAAATTAAAATATACTTTGAAATATACGTGTAATAATGGGAAAAAATATCAAACTTTTTGACAAAATTGAGAAGGGGATCAGAAATATTTTTTTTAAAAAGTGTTCAACATTATTTATGGACGGCTCCTTAGTTTTCACTTAAACTGTAAATTCCTGATTCAGCTGGAAGTATGTTCCTTTCAATTTTATAAACTCTTATTGAATATTATAATTTTTGCCAGAATCATGTTTAAAATTCACTTAATTCGAGATCAAGACATTTATAATCTTCTTTTCATTACATGATGTTATGGTAAAAAAAATGGTTTATTAAGATGCTTGAGAAACTGGAATTAATTGATTTTCTCAATAATTTAGATTTTTAAGACATAGCGTGGATTGACCATGTTATTATATGGCTCATTACTTGGTAAAAAATAAATGAAATGGGGACTTAATAAAACTCGAATAAGATCTTACTATTAATCAAATTTTATATTTTTTCAGCATAATTTATTTTGATTGACATTATATTTTTTATTTTTTATAAAAGACTTGATTGTATCTTACTGCTACGTAAGTGATTTTAAATAAAATGTTTTAAAAAGTTCTGTTACAATGTAAACAAAAGAAGTTTTACGAGGTAGATACAACTTCAAGATAGTTTTTTTTTTCATACGAAGAATTAAACTATACTACGGTTTATGATCGTATGAAAATTTTGAAACACCATAAAACTCTGAATCAAAATTTTAAGGCAATTTTTAAGACTCTAGAGGAAAAGCAAACTTTAATTTTTGATTCTAAGAACAATTTTTTTGTTTTTAATGTTCTTAGCTGATTTTGTTTCTAAATTTTGGTGACAAATTTTGGCGAGTTAGAATAAATGTTTATAAAAGTATACAGTATAGGAACAGTAAAACGAGCTGCATTTGTGAAGTTTTTTTTCCTAGTAATATATAAATTTATAATTATGAATAACTATTAATTCTATCATCAGAAAACATCTTGTAACGATATAGAAAGGTTAGTAGGCCTTTAAAGAAAATATTGGGGGCAATTGCTCACAATTAAAAAATTACATAAGCTCTAATGTAAATTTAAAAAGCAATTTTTAATAACATTTAACAATGCTATTTAGAAATGTATTTCAACAATGGTTGTCAAATAATTGAAATGATTCGTTTAGCAAATTTTAGGATTTGCGTGCATTTTAAGTCAACAATGAAATTCTCTTATTATTGTAATTTATTCTATTCTATCTTACTCATTTGAGTTGTGTGAAATCAAATGCTGTGAATTCAAATAAGTTTAGAAAAAACGTTGTTATTTAATACAAGATTTAAAATGGCGAAAGGTGCGAAAAAAATTTCAAATGATAAACGTGCTAAGCGCGTTAAGAAGGCAATTAAAATATTGCAAAAGGAGAAAAAATATACTATCCTTGGCTGTATTGGAGCAGGCTCTTTTGGACAAGTGTTCAGAATGAGAGAGCCCTTGAACAAATCTGAGCTGGCTGTAAAAATTGTGCCGTACGAGATGGTGTCAAAAGCCGAGTCTGAATTATGGAAAAATCTAAGACATCCCAACTTAGTCTCCTTGGTAGGCATGCACAAATTGAAGAGACAAAAAACTTTTGTCTTCTTGATGCCAGTATATCGAAGCACATTGCTTGATTCCATTCAAGACGCAGCCTTTCGAGAAAAGAAGGGAGCTTATAATATCGTGAAGTGTTGGCTGAAAGATGTGCTCCAAGGTTTGGACTATCTTCATTCTAACGGAGCTTGCCATCTTGATATTAAACTTGACAACGTACTCCTATCAGATGAAAATTCGGCACTCCTGTGCGATTTCACATTCTTGAGGGAGTCTAAAAAACCTCTCCACAAGTACGTATTTGGTTTTCAGTTATTATTTCATAAATGAAAGGATTTAGTTACTTCTGCTATCAAATGTAGTTTATATGGAATAGATGATTTTTGTGCTCTGGTAGCTTATGATTTTCTTTAAAAAAATTTATATATGTAAACACTGATTTGTGTATTACGACAAAAAAATTCTTTTTATTTTTAAAAAAAAATTTATTTTGTAAAAAACATTCTGATAAAACATACATAATTATTCATTTTAACTAGTAATGGGTACAAAGATCCTTAATATAAGCATTTGAAATTGAATGTTTAAAAAATAATCGTGTTAAGTTTATAAATAACAACATCTATCTTTTGAAGTAATTATTTTCTGAACTAAAGATTATAAATAATGCTATGTTTTAATTCAGGTTCATTATTTACAATTTAATGAATTGAGGTTGAATGAATACTGTTAAATGTCGTGGTAGGCAACTTAACTTAAAAATGAAATTTACTTAGCCAAAAATCAACGAAAAAATTTAATTTTGTGTTGTTGTCGTTTTGGCGTTCTTAGTTTAAACTTTCATCAATATGCTCTAAATGATTTTGGATAAAACTGAACTTCTGGTTTTGATTCGTTATTGCTATAAACGAGATCTTTAAGCAAGGGAAATTTTGACAAGCGTTGCAGAGCTTTTGAAACAACCTAACACCATATGTGTTTTCGTTTGAAGTGTATGAAATTTAATTGTAAAAAAGTTAAGACATTCAAGGTCAATTTTATTGAATTTCATCTTAAGTTTAGTCTTAATACAATAATATAGCTATTTTACCACAATTTAGCACTGTAAATTTAAAACAATGCTTCTTATTTATTAACCAAAAACAAAACTTTTTGTTGCAGACAACATATAGGCGTACCACTTGTATACCAACCCCCTGAAGTTGTCTTGTATAAAGAGAGAAAACACCTTGATGGACCTAGCATAGACATGTGGGCGTTCGGTTGTCTGGCTATGGAACTGCTTAGTTATTTCGCCATAACAAGAGCTGCACCTACGGACCAGAGAAAAGAAATGTATACGACAATACTTAACCGATTAGAGGTAGATTATTATTTCATGCTGTATAATCTAACAGTGGACTGATCATACGATTCAGTTTCTAGTAGATCACCTATGCCGCGAGTGAGTGTTAACTTTTATTAGTCTGCGAAGAGTTAGAGAGAATGCGGTATTGGTCCTCGTTAAACTGTTCATATAAACAGCTCGATTTCGCATACGGGTCTACCAAAGCGTGAGAGTCATTCCCTACGCAGAAGATCAAAATTGGGATGTCGTGTCTTTGGATGATACTTACACCCAATTTACACGAGGACAAAAAAAGGTGTCTGAAAGTAGTCTTTCGACGACACAAGCCTGAAAAAATGTTTGTCAAATTTACACCATTTCTGATGTTAAGAGCACCAACTTGTAAGGAGTAGCAAAAAATAATCACGTGACACAAAGAGCCAATCATCTCATGCCTGAATTCCGGCCTGACTCGAAGTTGTCTTCACCAGGCAATGCTTGCCTCTGAAAACAGTCTAGTTGAAAAATGAGGTTCACATTTGTCTGGTGACATCACGAGCGTGATACCAGGCCTCGTGTAAATGGGAAGTTAGGGATGTTTCACAGACCGCAGCTCCAGTTGTGATGCAAATTGAGTACTACCACTACTAGTCATACAGTTTGAAATCTGTTTAATGCCTTTCTCTTCAACGAACTTAACTTGAAATTACCAAACATTAACATCTGCGTAGTTGTAACTTACGAATTGAGACACCCACACACTTCATTTTCTTTGGTCAAAAATCGCTTCAGTTTTAAGCAAGCTATTTTATTTAATTTGAATACCCACGTGCAAATTTTATTGTGATTAAATAACACCTACATTGATTAAAAAAAATTTTTGGTTTGTAATTAAAGCGAAAACGCTTTCAAAATAGATATATTACATTTTTATTATTTTTTAATTTTTAAAGCTAGTTTTTAATTATATTAATATTTGTTTTAACCATCTCTATACTTTAATTTGAGATTTGATGAGTTTAGAAAATTAATTTCAAATGTGCCAGCAATCACCGACCTGATTTTTAACTCAATTAAATTCATTTTTGTAGCTTACTGGTACAAATACTTATCTTTCACAAATACTATTAAAAAAAAACTTCTTTCCTTCAAATCAGTCGGCAAGGATATGTAATGTAATGTGTGAAGTTATGAGACAAATATAACAAATTTAGAACTAAACATAAATCGAACTTATAACAACTATAATTAATATCTAAATATATACTAGCTATACTTTCTTCGCAGGAAAATAGATTACTGTGGCCAATAATGACAAAAATCTTCAGTGCTGATGACTTGCGTGAGACAGATGTGAAACTTGCTCTCCAATTCATTAAAGAGTTTTTGAAATTTGACGCTTCGCACAGACTACCAGCTTCTAAAGCATTGATGCACGACTTTTTTCACCAAGATGATGACAGCATTCATGATAACGTAGATGCTAAACACACATCACCGACGAATAGCACTGCGCAACACAGCGAGCATTTATCAGTAGATGAAGCTGCGATCTTAGAAAATATTGATGCAAACCAGACAAAAACTCTTTCCGAAAGAAATAGGATGCAAGTGAATGAATCCCAAATGAGTGAGATTGTTATTAATAAATCTACGGATGAGCAAAGTATGCCAGGAACGGAGATGATTACACTGATGTTGAATACTCTTTCCGTAAAGGGCATCAAGTTAGAGGATGAGTGCGGTATGAAACCGTCTGATATTGAGGAATCAGACAAGGAGCAAAGCGTGACAAAAACTGAAGATAATACAAGGATTGATATGGAGAAAAACATAGACCTCATTTTGCTTAAAATGACTGAATTGACAGATGAAGTGAAATACCTCCGTATCAAAATGGAGAATATGGAAAAGAGAATGGAGAATCTTATAAAGATAAACATGAACGACGAAACAATCACAAAAACTGGCGAATCAGGGAATATAAGAAATGAGATAAAAGGAGAGTCTATTGTTCATAAACCCATTGACAGCGTGAGGATAAACTCTGATGAAGTAGCGATTGCTCATAAAGGTGAGAACTCTTAAAACAAGTATAAACAAATACTTTTTCTTTAACCGATTTTGTTGACTTCGATAACTGCATTATTCAATTACTTAACAATTTTAAACAAACTTTTCTCCTTCAACCGTTTTTGTTAACTCTGAAAAACATAAAATTTAATCACTTTAGTATAAACAAAGAAATAATAAGCACACATACTCTACAAAGAAACTACAAAGAAAATTTCGCGGCAACTTTTATTTTTGTTTAAACTTCATTTTTGCTACCAATAAATTAATTAAAATATATTTTTTTGCTTATAAGATATATAGATAATATTAAGGTTAGTATAAAAGTTTGATAATCAATAAGTAATGTGCTAATATGATTAATATTATCTATGCAAAACCATTTTATGCTTAAATAAAACTGTACCATCTACATTAAGTGTAAATTTAAGATTCGATAATGTTTAAGAGTTAATTGTATTTCTACGCAGTTTATAAGGTGTCCCGTACTTTCTGCAATTAATTTAAATTTTTAAAAGCATGTCAAAAAGGAAGGCAAAATAGTCTACTCATTGGGGATAGCAAATATTAATTTCATCGAGGATGAAACAAAAATGCAATCGAAATCTAACAAATCCTTATTTAAAAAAGCGGGAAGTAAAACATCAAAACAAGATAAATAGTCCGTTTTTGAAAGTGTGAAGTGTTTCTAATAATCATGACATTACTCTTCGCAATTTTAATAATCAAACGGTCAATACGTATATTTGTTCGGGTTTATTTCAGAAAAGGATAACAAAAACACAATTTAAAATCTGCCATGACAAAACTTTTGTAATTGTCATAAATAAATAAATTCTAAATATATAGAAAGAGCAGCGATGGCTCAGGGGTTAGACAGTTCACCTACCAATGAGGTAACCAAGTTCGAATCCCAGCATTGACTGGTTGATATGAATTCTACCCCGTCTGACACCAAACACAGAGCTGACGTGAAATATCCTCAATAGTAGACGGATAATGGGTTATTGTCCCCTTGCCGTTACGCTTACCGCAAGAAGTTTTCGTGTTTTTCTTCTCTTTATAACGCAAATGCAGGTTGGTTGCATAAAATAGTCCTCAACGAAGGGTAGTTTGTCCCAATGCATCATCCAAGAGTTCCCTGGGTTAGGTTCAAAATTACAAAGCTACGGAATTGAACATTGATAGTCGTAAACTCAAAATTGAGTCGGCTTTTTAACGGCGGTTATGAAATAAGACTAAAATATCTATATAATTACTGATGAAAACTATTTTTGACAAAATGCTTAAAACTTTACTTTTTTTTAACATAGAGATTACAGTTAAAAAAGAAAAGAAGACAGGACGTGCTTTAAAGTGGATGAGAACTGCTTGCAGAAGTGCATTTAGTTTATTCAAGAAGAGAAGATCAAACTAACTACAAGTAAGATCTTTAATTTATAATTCTTTTTTTAAAAAAAATAAAACCTAAACTGAAAAAATTATGATACAAATATGTGGTACTTAAAAATAATTGTACTGGGCTCAGAATATTACTTAAATGCCTAAGATGGGGTCATAGATATATATATATGATCGCAGACTATTGAATCGGGTTAACTCATAAAACTAATTAAAAGATAAGTTTCTAATGTAATACTCACAATCCCAGTAGCGGAAGCCCTCCTGCACGGCATCAAGCTCAGAATGTTATTTTAGAATCTGCAGATTTTTTATCCGAGTTATCTTTATAATATTAAGAAAAAAAGCAAACGAACTATAAGCAAAAAATTGCTGAAACTCCTTTAAAATATATCTATAAATTTGTTTTTAAGAAAAATTAAAATGGTGAATGTCGAGAACACCACAAAGAACAAAAAGTAAAAAAAAATTAAACTGCTGTTTGTAGAAA